AAAAAAAAAAAAAAAAAAAAAAAAAAAGGGGGGGGGGAGTTGGGAATGTTATCTAGGAAGATTGTCATCACTATTGCCAAACTTAAAGGAAAAAGAAAAGAGAAAGAGAAGACAAAAACACTCAACCCGATTAAACGGCTAAGGAACATCTGGAAAAAAAAAAGGGGGGGGGCATGGGGGATTTTGTAAAAAAATAAAAAATAAAAAATAAATAGAGAGAAGGGTTGAAAAGGAGAGGGGTGAAACTAAGGAGAGCAGACCTTACCGGCCACCTAACAAACTTGCTATTACCTGTTTTAAAAAAAAAAAAAAAAACAGAGGGGGGAAGAAAGTAAAAAAGAGAGAAAATGGGAAGAAAGAAATGATTAGGAGCTAGTTAGTAGACTAACACCTATTGGTTTGTTTTAGGAACATCATTTTCCAGAACGATTTGGCAACCATGTGTGTTGATTGACAGCAGAAACTTCAAGATGGACCCAACAATCTGGGATGCGGTCCATACAGCAAGAGTAGAGTCCTTGGTGGGTAGGGAATTATTCATGCCACTGGTCTATCCCTCGACGAGATTGGTTAAAGGCTATGTCCAGCTATGCATAAACCCGCAAGAACAAAATCCACACAACCTGAATTTCATACTGGTCTTTAACGACATTATCTACCCAGTCAACCTTTACTTGCTTAGGGTCTCCTTGCCGGTTGAGTATCTACAACTCTCCCCTCCCAGCGCAATTACGTCTATTCCACCGCCACCGTTGTTAGACAGACGAGGCAGAATGAGGGATCATTCAGAGCCAACCTTGACATCTAGGTCAACCATAGTGTCAAGGGAAGAGATGAAAATGCTTCAGCTTAGGATAAAACTGCATAATACAGACCAGAACAAGGTTAGAAATGTCTTCACCGGAGTTAAGGAGTCTCTCTACAGAAAACCGGAAGGAGCTAAAGATGAGGTTGAGGCCCTCAAGTGCATCTTTGATCAGCCACCTTGGAGAAGGCACATAGCAGTCCTAATTAGAGTTAAGCAGATAGAGCTAAATTACAAGCACTATGAGAGGAGCAGACCAGCAACAAGCGCTTTCAAGAATGCAATGGCAAATCCGCCAGAGGAACTGTGCGTTGACAAATGCTCAGAAGCAACAAAGAGCTTACTTAAGCCTATGAAGCTAGAAACATCAGTGACTGCAATGCGAAAAATTAACAAGGAATGAGACGACCAAGAAAACAGGGCAGCAATCACAGGGTAAGTGGCAGCGGTACACGCTGACCCAGAAGAATTTATCAAGACGTAAAACAACCTCCTTACCTATGACTTGCAAAAAAATAAAAAAATAAATATATATAATTAACAGAGAGAAGAAAGGCGGGGGGAGCATTATGAAGTAAAGGATGATCTTACCATCCATATATATATACACACAACCTTTGGAGACCTTCACTGAAGTGCTTACGAATTATACTCGGCGGTCCTTGTTCAATTACTGGATGAACAGAAGCAACTTTTGAGGTACGTCTTTAACTTGTTTTTGTGCAGATTCAACAGGTCGGATTAAGCGCACCAATCAAGAATCCTTACTCATCCCTCTGAACTTCACTTTATTTCTCACTTTGCTATCCGCCGTTTGGGCTTCTTGCCATGTCTCCGTACTATATGAGGTTGTGGCTTCTGAATGTAAAGTCACCTGAAGCCTACTAGTTTCAAACATTTCCAGCCAAGTCCCATGATAAGGAAGTCAAGCATGGCACAAAATTCCTCCCATACTGTAGGGAGGTATGACTGAGAGAAAACGCCACTCCTGAGATGCGGAAACTTAGAGGGCTCCGTCACAACCTCGTAGTCGATCACTGCTGGGGATACGTATCTCTTGGCCAGGTCCACCAGTCCACCCCAATAAGAGTCGTCAATGAGGTAGTAGGGGACTGGAGGCTTAGGATAGTCAGTGAACAGCTTAGGACCAAAGCTATAGACCAACTTTGTATTCCCCTGGAGTCTCTCCACTTTCCATTGCACGTACCCGGCTACTGCAGCCCACACTGCATCAAAATGAGGGTGTGTCTTATTCCCCTTCTTCAGAAAGATCCGCAGATCGCTGACTGTACCCTCAGCAAACTCAGAAAGGACAATGAAGATAGGCAGATCTTCGCGCTTGAACCCGTCAATGCTAACATACTTGTAGGGGAAGCTCTCCCTGGCGGCGATCAGGTTGAGGCTGTCCAAGACCGACTGATCAACTGTGATGGGGTTGATCTCTCTCATGTGTTTCGATAAGCAATTACTCTCTGACAGAGGGAAAGAGACTGTGCTTAACTGACATAAATTCGTTGCAGGCCGAATCAGATGTTGTCCACTGAACTATGGTCAAATGCTAATGGACTGGCGAACCCCTGATCGCTTGTTTGAATGCTGCATAAATGCCCTTTCGAATGCTGTCCTGGATGCCATTCTGAGTGTTGTTTCTGAATGCTGATCTGAATGCAAATCTGAATGCTGATCTGAACGTTCATCTGAATGCTTATCTGAATGTTGTTTTTCGGACAATGTATTTGAATGCTGATCTGAATGCTGATCTGAATGTTGTTTTCCAGACAATGTATCTGAATGCTAATATGAATGCTGATCTGAATGTTGTCTTCCGGACACTGTTTCTGAATGCTGATCTGAATGTTGCTGAGTTACTGACTGAGAGAAGGGATGCTGCTCCTGATCGCTGTTTCTGGTTGCTGTTTGATAACCGACTACTAAGATTGTCTAGTTAAACTTTGTTAGTATGTTTGTCTGAGTACTGCTGAGCAAGGCCTGCTTGAGACCTGCCGGAGTTGAAAAGCACCGCATAATAGTCCAAGAAAAAACTGAGTACAACTTGTTGTCCGCTAGTTGGCATTTGGTATTCTGAGATACTGATAAGACACTAGTTGAACAACTAATTATATTCTGTTTGATCGCTTCTTGGATACTGTCTGATTATTTGCCTGGATGTCGATCTGGTTGATGACTGATTGTTTGCTTGACTCATTGGACCACCGGATCGTGAACCCGTGTGCCTTCGCATTACAAAGAAAACTGCAAACCCCTGCTTTTGGACGTTAATGGATTCCGGAGGAATGATAGTTCGAGTACAACTGAGCTTACGCGAACTTTGCTCTGGCCCTTCCCACTGTCTCTAAAGAGGAACTGGTACTGTGCAGCCCGCCATTGTGGCCATAAAAGTAGGCTACATACTCTATGTAGTTCTCCTCCTTAACCATTCTAGCTGCCAATTCTCGCTGAGCCTGTCGGTGGCATTCAATATCCTGACGTTCCTTTTCCTCCCACCCTTCTCTCTTACCTCTGATTAGGCTGTATTTTATCACAAGAACTTCATCGCTCCTCATATTTCGCTTCAAGTTCTAGTCCGTCAGTGATTGGAATAGGCCTATAGCTGCTCTGATGGATTCCACATTCAGGAGAGGAAAACCGTTTTCAGGCTTGGAACCGTTGGAGCCAGTCTGATCCAGGTGGTGACAACTAGCCCCAACAAGGTGCGGCTTGACCCCCTGTGCGTAGAAACTATAGTGCCCACTGAAGGTTGGTTTTGAAGAGTCTTTCCCCCGGTCTCTTTTAATAATTAGACTACTGACAGTCAGTGGTTGTGGAATCCGAGTGACTAGACAAAAGAAGGTTTGCGGTCTGTGGATTCAATTCCGATCTTACAATCTATACTAAGTTTACCAGGACTGCACCGGGTTCGCTGAGTTCGAGTTCGGTGATTACGGCTTACCGAAAACTAGCTGAGCCTGTGAGAGTCCAATCTTTCAAGGCTCCAAACGAGTCCACAGAATTAGCGGCGTGTTAGTCGAATCAGCGCCTGGTCTCTTACTGTCTGGGCCGCCTGCAGCGTAACGCTCGTGTTCCACAAAAAATAAGAGTGAGTAAGTTGAGGCTGTGCTAGGTCCCCTGGTCCTACACAAAATTGTCTGGGTCTACTTCAGGTTGGTCGGATTTGTTTTGAAGTTTGCACAGTTCTGGTTTGAGTTGTCTGAGTCTGGCTTGTGTTGTCTGAGTCCGGTTCAAATTGTCTGAGTCTGGCTTGTGTTGTCTGAGTCTGGTTCGAATTGTCTGAGTGAAGGGTGGTGAACCATCCAAGCTACTGCTTGCGAAGCTCCCCGTGTCCGTTAGGTCTCCTCAGTCTGGGGGACGTTCGAGCTTCCCCGGGTTGGCGTGTTATCGGTCAGACTGCATCTGCCTAAATAGAGTCCCCAAACTGGGCTTAGGTCTGCAAGGCCTGGTCTGCGAAGCTCTTTCTGCAGGAGTCAGCCTACTAGTTCTCTGAGCTGGATAAGTTTGTACTAAGTCGTCCATCAGTCATGTGCCTTACAACACAGACAGACTACTGAGTTACAACATGATACTCACTCATGCATTATGCTCTGTAAGCAGCACGATCAGTCAGAAAATATGATGCCCTCTTTTCACTCAGTCCACGTCAGTTGGATAGAGTGGCTATCTTGAGTGAAGACTGAGTACAACTCAGTCCCCATCCAGGAGAAATTTAGCCACCAAGTAGATAACCCTTTTTAGGACTTGTCGTTTACCGCCCATCGGACCATATAGTCAGATCATTTTGCTTAATTATGAGTTTCCCACTAATATCACGCTTCTAAGACTGATGCAACTGGTCCGAGTTAGCAATTCTAACAACCAACGTTTTTCAGCCTGCTTACTGACTTTGGCGAAACTAGTGTTGTCCTATTCTCTCAAGTGCTAATTAGTAGGCACCAACCAGAGGGAAACGACGACTTCTCACATTCATGCATACTTAGAGGGAACAACTGAACTCAATCAAAGCACAAAGGTTTCGTCATCCGATATTACAACGCGAACATAACACAACACATAGTCTTGTCAAGTAACCAATCGAGTTACTCAGTAAGGGAAACCTAGATGCGAGACCTTCCTATCATCCTTGGATAATTCTTAAAAGAAAGCAACTCTCACAATTTTGCTAATCATTAAACTTGATTATACGTATGTGGGGTTATCACTTTGATCAGGAAAACCTGAATTATTACCACCAGCTAAAACGTCTAGTTGCCTGCGAGACTGGTTCCCCCTTAAGTCAGGTCACTCTGCAATACGTTTCAACTGTTATTTCCCCGCATACCACAAAATCCTTTATAATAATCTAGTTCAACCCTCAAGCATTTTATATGCATATATATATATACTTATATATACACACAGTGAACGTTCAGTCTAGTTAGCACCAATCAAACGATCCAATGAACTTCACCTCTCTCACAAGTGTCCCATCTGAGCTGAACTTAACTAGGTACGCTTTGAAAGGCTGACATCAACGCGTCCAGCTCTTTGCGAAACACTCTCCCGGATAGTCGTCCGGCTCTCCTAACTTGCCCTTAAAACATCACATCAAGAGCCCAACTACATAAGCACGTAGCCCATACTGGAACTCTCAAGCTTCCCGTTCTAAGTACTTCAAGCTGCACTCACCCGCGAATGTGTATCAAAAGAGGGGCTTGGGATCGGTTGTATTCAGCCATAGCCAGAAGTTGCTCACATCAATCACGTAGCGACCGTCAAATACTAAATGTAAACAAGTCGTCTTGATGCGCAGGCGAAACGTGAGAGCGCCCGCTTGAGTCGTGCACTTCCATCTCAACGTCCTCCGCTTGAGCGAAGGCGAGTGGCCTACCACTGTCATTGACCAGCCTTCTTAGATGCACATGGTCTCTTCCTCTCGCCCTCCCTCGCACATTCCTCTTGCCACCTAGCCTTTTCACACCAGTAACAACCCAAGCTTTCAAGCCATGATGCGCGGTTCAGTCCTGTTACGAACAACTGAGGTCTTCCCTCCAAAGACACATATGTATATTCACAAGGTTCAAGCAAGAGAGAGGTCAATAGCTACTTCTTGTATTAACTTTTCTCATGCGCACTTCGACTCAGCTCTCTGCGACAACCTAGCCCCCCAGTCGCCCAGCTGGAATGAGTGTCAGTCGAAAGAAGGAAAAATGGAGAAGAGGTTGATGTCAGCTACGACGGATATGCTCACTCTCAGCTAACGCGAGCCACTCTCTCCCTCGCCAACCTTCTCTTACTCCTTTGCATATCCCTCCCTCTCGCGCAGGCTCATGTGTAGACCGTGCCTGAGCATAACCACCTCACGATTTCCACCCTTTTCAGGGAGCGCAAGCACGTGTTAGCCTTCCTCACACACACTCAAGAACTGAGCATTGTCCGTCTCATCACTCACGTGCAGCGCTGGTGCTTTTGCTTCTTGCGTGAGTGCGCCACGTGTAGGCTGAGTACACAGGTCACAGCCTCATGCTCTGTCCCGCACTAAGAGCCCACTTGTTTTCCCACCTTTCTGACGAATGCGGTAGGCTCACGTGCTGTGCTCGTGCACAACCCACTGGTTTTGACATCAACCGCCTCTCTCCCTCTCACACGCGTTGACCTCTCCAATCACCTCTTCTCGACCCCGCTGTCTCTCTCCAACCTACCCCTGTCTTTTTCCCTTGCTCTCCTTCTCACCCGTCCCACGACCTCTGGGCGTCGGTTGTCGAGAGATGGCCTCGGGTCCCTCTTCCACTGGCTTCGCGGCCCGGTGGTACCTCTGGACCTCGCCTGGTCTATTCCAGGACCTGAGGTCCGTCTCTCGATCTCCCGCTTCGCTCATTTCGCTCTCCCCACCTGAGTCACGGTCCAGATGGGCCTGCTCCCTGTCCGCCGTATCCATTGAGTTCTCGGTCTCATGATACGAGATCGTTACCTGCATTTTTGCCGTTACGCCATCCCTCCTGCAGCGCCTCTTAGCACGGTCCTTTGCCTTTGTGATCGCGTCCTGTAGTTTCCCATCAGTCCGCATCTCCACCTCTTTTCCTCCCTCCATGTTGATTCTCAGTCTTAGCTTGTCTCCCCCGTCGTAGTTGAGTATCGTCGTGATCCAAGGCCCCTCCCCGAACATGGGCTTCCATCGAATCTGTTGGTACCAATAGCAGGGCCTATACCCATGCAACGCCGTAGCCGCAGTCCTTGCAATAGTTGGTGCAAGTACTAAACACTTCAGCTCTCGCGTTGCACTTGGGAGAAACAGGCTATTAGAGTGCAGGCTACCAAGGGGTGATAATCTCAGTGCCCTGTCACTATCTCTTCTCCCAGCGCGATAGCCTCAACGAACCTGCCGAGAGATCCACGGGTAGTCTCCTTTTATAAAGTTCAGAGAGGCCGCGATTCCCTGTGTACTAAACGGGGAGTTTTAGCAAAGTCTTTTCGAAGGCACAAATAAACTTGAAGTTAAATTTTATTTCTCTAAAAAAAAAAAAACTATCAGAGTCTGAAACCCAATAGTCGCATGTAGGAATCAATCGATCCGAAATAATCTTGATATGTCAAGATCGTATTGAGTCAATCGATTCGAAAGGATCTTTATATGTGAAGATAGACAATTCGAGAGAGAGAGAGCATCGGGGCCAGGATCTCACATTGCGAACGTCGGGGTCAGGATCGCGGTGATCAAGGTCGGGATCGCGGAGATCAAGATCGGGATCGAGAAAGAGAGAGCGATCCCGACTCGATCTCGACTAGTCCGGACAGAGTCAATCAATCAATCAATCAATCAATCAATCAATCAATCAATCAATCAACCAACCAATCAGTCAAACTTGATTGATTGATTGATTGGAAGCCGGGGCGGAAGGGGGAGGTGGCGCAAACGAACGTGGAACCAGAACCAGCGACGAAAGCGTTTTTTTTTAATAAGTTTTAATCAATCAATGAATGAATGAATCAATCAATCAATCAATCAATCAATCAATCAATGATCGAGATCCGGATCGGGATTCGCATCGGGAAGCCGAAACAGAGATGGCACGATCGAAATCCGGATTGGGAAGTTGAAACCGAGATGGCGACGCCGCGCGGATGACCACGTGGGAAGACCTTCATGGTCATGCCTCCCCCTGCGCTTCCCTTGCCTCCCACTCCCCTTGATGACGACGCGCAAATAAGGAAAGGTGGGGGGGCGACCACTCGCCCACCACTCAATCAATCAATCAATCAATCAATCAATCGAAAGAAAAAAAAAGTGGAAAAAGGAAGCGGGGGCGCTTCGCCCCCGACCACGTCAAAATAGTCTGTTCATCATCATCAATCAACCAAGTCGGTTTCCCCTACGTGGCGCTCAACGCCCACCTCTCTCTCTTTCTCTCTCTCAATCTATCAATCACTCAATCAATCAATCAATCAATCAATCAATCAATCAATCAACCAATCAATCAATCCATTGCATAAACCGATTGATTGATTGAGAGAGAGAGAAAGAGATCCAGACCGGCGCTGGTGTCCGCATCGGGATCACGGAAGAAGAAGTGAAAAAAAAAATGGGGGGACGACCACTCGCCCACCACTCAAACAATCAATCAATCAATCAATCAATCAATCAATCAATCAATCAATTAATCAATCAATCAACCAATCAATCAATCAATCAATCAATCAATCAATCAATCAATCAATCAATCAATCGAAAGAAAAAAAAAGTGAAAAAAAGGAAGTGGGGGCGCTTCGCCTCCGACCACGTCGAAATAGTCTCTTCATCATCATCCATGAATCAAGTCGTTTTCCCCCACTTGCCGCTCAACGCCCACCTCTCTCTCTCTCTCTCAATCTATCAATCAATCTATCAATCAATCAATCAATCAATCAATCAATCAATCAAACAACAACAGAAAAATTCCCATGAGAAATGAAAGTTGAAAAAACATTCCATAAAAAAAAAATCCTTCATATTTATAAATTATCATCGCAATGTTTGTCCAATTCTAAAATTTTCAATTTAATTTGATAAGTTTCTGTCTAAATATGAGTTTTCTCTTCCAACAACATCTATTTGTTCAAGATGGAATGAAAGTCTGGACGAGCTTATAGACTTTCATTCTATTACAACAAATATCGTTTAATTTAGATTGGATTGACCTATTTATGACTGAAAATCCTTACTTAGAATGGCAGTCCAATTAAAATATTTCATGAACTCATCCAGACTTTCATTCCATCTCTAGCATGCAGTTCAAATAAGAAGGGATAAACCATTCTTGGAAGGAAAGTTTTCAAGTAAGACGAAAAATTTTAAAATTGGAATTACATTTTTTAAGATGGAATGAAAATTTGAAATTTAGAATATAATTTTACTCTTAAATGATTATTTAATTCTGGAAAATTTTTCTGTTGAATCAATCAATCGATTGGACAAAACCGATTGATTGATTGAGAGAGACAAAAAGAGATCAAGACCGGCGCCGGTGTCCACATCGGGATCACGGAAAAAGAAGGCGTCGAAATCGGTGTCTGGATCACTGGAGGGGGTTTGCTACGTGGCCAATGCGCAATGAAAATGAGGGCGCGAGCCGCGCGACCAATCAATCAATCAACCAACCAATCAATCAATCAATCAATCAATCAATCAGTCAATCAATCAATCAATCAATCAACCAAGCAATCAAGTGATCAATCAATCAATCAATCAATCAATCAATCAAGTCTGCATTTCAACATTGATCGCGTGTGATTATCGTTATGGTTGCGTTTCGCGTGGAGGTACCGCCGGACGGGTTGCGTTTTTCTCCCTCCTCATTCACATCACTCAAGATAGCTATGGCGCATGACGCCCAACAATCCCTTCCGACCAAGAAGAAGTAAAGAAAAAAGAAGACGAAGATGAAGAACAAGAAAAAGAAGAAGAAGACGAAGAAGAAGACCAAAAAGAAGAAGACGAAGAGGAAGAAGAAGAAGAAGAAGAAAACGAAGAAGATAAAAAAGAAGAAGAAGACGAAGAAGAAGATAAAAAATCCACCAAGACGAAGAAGAAAACGAAGAAGGAGTAGAGGAAGAAGAAGACTAAGACCACGAAGAAGAAGAAGAAGAAGAAGAAGAAGCACGACCGAAGTTGAAGAAGAAGCAAGATGAACCTACCAGCAAAAGTCATATCCTCCTCCTCTTTTTCTCGTCAAATCCGAATGCCACAAAATCCAAATGCCGCTAAATCCAAATGCCGTAAAATTATCTCTCTATCTCGACTATGGTCTCTCCCTCTCTCTCTCTCGTCAAATGCCCTCAAATGTC